AACTACAACTTGCAATACACATAACAAAACTAACACTCGGTGAAGACTAAGTAAATTTGTCAAAATAACCCATGACATAAAGAGCCTTGCACTTTCAAATCTCCAGAAGAAAGGGACTGTCTTACTCACTACACAGTTTATTATGTAGCAAGCACTGTCTGTCTTCACTAGGATATACTCATCAGAAAGCTATGATGTCAATGACAAAAAAAAATTCGGCTAATTAATTCACAGCTTACATAAGGTAGATTTATTCAACACAACACAATATAAGTACTACCTGCCATTTTGCATTCTCAGATACAAATCTGTAATGGCTGCACAGCACCTTCCTTAGCACCTACCATTAAAAAATAAAGGAGAAGCAAGGTGCTGTTTAAACTCAGTGTGTGTGCCCCTCTGGAGATCTGTCTTAAAACCCATTTGTAGTTCAGAACAGAAAATGGTCCAAAGGTCATATCCCAGGTCTCTAGAGAACTCAATGCTAGCACCAGAGGCTTTCCAGGACTAGAGGAGGCTGGCAATGTGCCTGCACTAAGGAAGCACACAGATGGTTACCAGGGGTGAAGGGAAGAAGTGTGCGTGTGGTTTTAGGATTTTTTGGTGTTTATTCTTTGCATTGGTTTGTTGGTTTTCCTTTTTTTGGGGGGGAGGGGGAAGGGGATGCTAGGAGGGTGTGGTGTTTTGGGTTTTTTTTAGTTTCTTTTGGTTTATTTTTTAAGTGGTGAGGGCCTTGTAAGACAAGGAAACCAATTAACCCCTGGGACTCCCTCATCAGATCACGAGCAGGATTAGATCTAGCACAGTCAGCTCTTACTTTACTGCCTCCTGTAGCCTTCAGTGTGGGGACAGGGAAAGGAGTACTGAGATGGACTTACTTTTACAGCTTTCTCTTTTTTTTTTTTAATCCTGAATAAACAAAGATCCTTTAATGCTGCAAACCTACAATTTGCATGCATATGAAGAAGTTGTTCAGCCTATTTGCATCTATTAAGTCACATATAAAATCTCATTTAAATGAGAGTTTCAAACTGCAGCTTCTGCTGTGAAACAAAACAGCTGAAAAAATGAACAGTGAATAGTGGGGCTTTCGATCAAGAAATTGGAAATACTAGGCAGTACAACACAGAGCTGATCTTTACCAGTGCTTATAGAACTACTGCAGTAGAGACAGCCAGCTGGTTTTCCTCCCTTCCACTTGCTACACAACAAAGAAAAGTCAAAACAAGCACTTATATGTAAACAGTGACAGAAAAGAACACTGTTGATAGAACTGTTCCAGCTAAATTCTGAGACTGCAGAAGAGAAAGGGAGTACCTGCAAGATTAAGAAGTGGAGAGAAAGTGTAACATACAGCACAAAGCCACTGATAGAACTGATATAATTGTATTATAGAGAGATGGATAAAATTATTAAAAAAGTCAGAGTGTGACCAAATCATTCTTATATACTTGCCTTAAAAATTCTAAAAAGTACCTTGAAGTTGTAGGGATCAGTTTCCTACTCTCTCTCATATTCAATATGTAAACTGGGAAAAACTTCAGGATAATCAGTTACCTTTAAAACAATGCAAGGTCAACAGGGCTCCTGGAGAGAGCAGAGTTGCCCTTTTTTGAGCCACCAACACTGTCTGCAGCATTGTGTCACAGGACAAGCTTTATATGAGCATCAGCTCCTAGCTACTTGCTTGGCTTGTGAGCCATTGGGAAAGAACAGCCGCAAATGAACATGCTCGCAGGTGAGAACACATACAGAGATGACAGAAATGTCACCAGAAACACTGTGTAAGTCCTGCATTTATATGGTGACTGAATACTCCATATGGCCTGTATTCAAGTAGACTGGATTCTCTCAAGTTTTATAATCGTGAGATATCAACATACATGGAGGTCATTATCTTAGTTTTATGGTTTTCTGTCACCAACAATAAATAAATAAATAATCACACAGCAAACCAGAAGACTGACCTGGATAAAACCCACTGTCCTGAATCCCAGGCTGGTCCCCCATCTGCTCTCCCTTGCAATTTAACGTTTAGGTACATTTTAATAAGGAATAAGAGAGGCTGTTTAACATACCCAAAATGACTCTCTGTGTCACCAGAATGTCTGTGTTCTTGGACAGGACAGTTCCTGAGAAGGGGGGCCAGATGTCCATCAGGTCTGATGGCAAGGTGGTTAGCTTGTTGCTGGATATGTCCAGGTAGGTGAGGTTTCTCAGGTACCGGCCAGCATCAGCGGGAATGCTGGTCATTTTATTGTTGTGTAAATCAAGAGTCCGTAAGTTGGGCATCTCTGCCAGTGATTCCCAAGGGAAAGTCGAGAGCAGATTACCATCCAGCCGTAACTCATGCAGTAGTTTCAAGTTATAAAAGCTGCTGATATCAATGTTGGCTACACAGTTGTAAGTTACCCATAGGTATTTGAGATCTACTAGGTAGTAAAAGGCTTCAGTTGGAATCCTTCGTATGACAGTTTTCTCTATTCGAAGTTTTACAGTATCCACAGGAACATTCACAGGGATTTCATACATGTCAGGATCATTACAGAGTACAGACCTAGGACCAGGGAAAAAAAAAAAGGAAAAGGAGAGAGATATTGGCATTTATTTATCAGAAATTTGAATTTCAGAGTTAAATGCAAATGCGATTACTTTCTGCAACACTAGTACCAGAATAAAGAGCACGGAAATAAAGGACAATCCTCTGCATTTAAAAGCTGAATAAACTCCACAAACATGGAGTCTCTAAAGAGAAAGAGAATACAAAACAGAAAAGATCCTTCTTTCACATGAAATCTAGATTTGCTTTATTCTAAAGCATGTAAGCACCATCCTCTGTGCATCCCTCGCTCTATTGACAACTGAAAAACAGAAGCCATTGTATATGGAATAATGCATGCATGTATCTCAGGTGGGAACTGCATGCCATCTAATTTACTAAAATTCAGAATATAGGATTACCAATCTAATTTTTCTGTATGATAAAGATATGATATTTTCAGATATCAGTATATTTTCATTTCTTTCAGGTATATTGTTTGCACATATGAGCTCAAAGATTCCTCTGCCCTCAGTAAGTCTTAATTTTCTCCCCCTTTTCTCTAGATTCTTCCTCTAGTTTACTTTTTCCTCATGCAGCTTTACAACAGATAGGCTGTGACAGTAAGTAGCAATGACAAAGAGTACCTCCTAAAATTGACATGATAATACCAGGTCACCACATTTCAAATTAACCTCCTTATTATCAAAAATTACATTATTTACTCCAGATTGAAAAAAATAACAAACTGCTGTATTTTATTTAAATCAGAACCACCTTACAGTAGTTAAGTAGTTTTAGAAATGGAAGGGACATTACAACACTAGGAAAATCATGGAGCAGAAAGAAATTGCCTTCTGCAAAAAACGAAGATTTAGAGTAGCTATTTGCCAAGTACAAAGCCATAATCACCATCTGCTCCTATTCAGGAATGCTGCTAGCCATAGAACATCAGTGTAAAATATGTGTTTTTTTCAACTATTCTAGAATTACTTGGCAATGTATGAGAATGTTATCTCCAATTTCTTTAACCCTTTTTCTTATAAATTGCCCTATATAACAGATAATAAAATATATACCTTGTTCCAGTGCCATCACTTCTGCCATGGTAAACGCAAGTGCATTGTGAAGGACAAAACCCAAGAACTTCTTCAAAAAAGCTCATTAGGAGGTAGAAGTAAATAAACAGATACATGCCTTCCTCCCAGCAGAACTGACATGAAAAAAATTGAAAACTTTATTCCTAGGCACTCATGTGCAGTGTGCTACGAACGTGCATGTAGACATCCATTTAGTAACAGCAGATTACAACAGATTAGCCGAGATCTGTAGTTGCTTAACCTTCAAATGTATCCTGAATGGGATCAGTAAAACCAAATCATTCTTTACTCTGTCAGAACCCACGCTGCTTCAAATCACATCCAGCGTGTTTTAAGGCTATTTTAATATGTAGCTTGTAGAGCTTGTGTGTAATAAAATATCTCTTTTCTTTTTCTACCAGGCAGTGCATTAGTTACTGTCTGTAAAGTATTCCAAGGTTCCTGAAGGAAGTCTAGTACACCATGAGGATATTGTGTGGCATTTTCTTTAATACTAAAAATTACAAACTAATAGGAAGCCTGGATTCCACAGCTTTTAAAAAAATCCCATAAAAACAGGGTTTTGGCAAAAATACACATATATTTTAAATAAGTTACACACTGCAAAGCCAAACTTCAGATGCACACATAGAAGCTAGATCTATACAGTCATCTTCTTCATCCTGAATAAAGCCATTGCTCATATTGCCAAAGGTATTTCTTGAAAATTACACATCAGACCTATATAACCAAAAGATTGACTTAAAAGTGATGAGAAATTACCATAAACATTTACTCAGTTTTATGTGCCTCCCAAGTGTGGAGCTTTAGGGTACATTTTGTCTCATTTTCAGGATTTGCTGTACAGTCACAAGCACTAGAAATATGCTACTAACAAAAAAAAAAACAAACAACCTGTCTTTCCTACAAATTAATTTGATTCTATGAGTCAAAATTTTAAAAATACTTTAAATATCCTGAAACTCCTTCAAAATCCTAAAAGCTGTTAAAAGATTCTATAGTGTTTGGCTAGATATTTTGATATCCTAACATATTCACAGACCTTTGCAAAGCATATCAACATGGACACTTGGTATGGAAATATACAGCCATAGGGAGAATCCAGAATATTTCAAGTCTGGAAAACTTTCAAGGGAAGTTGGTGGAAAGTAAGTCATGAAAGGAATTACAAATGTAAAATCTAGGGCTACTGAACCTAAGCACCTCCTGCTTCAGTCTCTCCCTGCCCCTGTGTCACCTTGCCCAACTCTGTAGGAGTCACAGGGGCCTTTTTCGTTTGGGACACATATATTGGGCGAATAAACCTCACTCTCAAAAACTAAAGTCTTAGCGGGTTTTGTCTTTCTGTCTTCTTAACTTAACTAAAAGAATTACTATGACTAACAAAAAACAGCTGGCTGGGGCAGATTATTATTCCAAAAGATTAATTAGCTTTAATCCAGATTTCACTCCTTTCCACGTAATTTATGCAGGCAAATGACAGAAGTTCTATGATGTCAATGCGCTTTGAGATACACTCATGGGCAAAGCATTGTTTATAGTTATCTCTTGTCTTGTCTGACATCGCACCATTGCCAGGATTGCCCTCCGAAACCTGCAAAGGACAAGAAAGGAAAAACAGAAATATCATTAGCTGGAGAACCAAATGCAAAGAAAAGCTGCATAAGATAGCCTTAATTATTACAATAGTTTTCAAACTCAATAAAAGGTGTATTTGGAATTCAAAAGGATCTGGGTCTTTTTCACTTCCATGTACAGGAATGTACAATTAATTTCAGTGTTTCTTCTACAACAGGGATCACAGCAGCTTTTGCTTATCCCAGGAGAGGGTACATCCACGACAAAGATGAACTTACAGAAAGGGAAAAAAACTCAGATATTTTTTCATCGATTCAGCAGGATCAGGTAAGTTCACCCAGACAGAGATCACAGGCTCTGCTTGAAGCTTGGTAGCAGAGAAAGGAAGGATGCCTCTTTGCAAATCCCGCTCCTTAGTCAGAGGCACTGGCTTGATTAGAGCATGTGTGATGCTTGCTCAAATTGGAATAGGCTTAACCTATTTAATTTAATGAAAAGGCTCAATCCATTCTAATAACTCAGAATATGATACATTCCAAATCAAACAAGAAAATCTACACAAGTAACGTAAGCCACACACATTTTGGCCACAGTCATTAACACTTATCTACTACTGATGCAACCCAAATTCCATAATGAATCCTCTTGAGAAAAGACAAAGGGACTTTCAAAACTCTTATAAAAGCTATGTTAATGTTTTCTCAAAAATATTTTATTAATTCAGTATGTTCTGAGGATGATCAAAACAATTTATTTTAGATTTTCCTGTCCAAAAGGTCATCTTTGGTAAATTAACAGTGGCTTACCCTTTGCTCTTCACAAATCAGTTTGTCATATTTTACAGGTGATCCTTCTATAGTCAGATGATATGCTAGAATCATGAAGTAGACTGGTACTAAATTAGGAACACTTACTTTTTGTTTGCAATGACATAAATACAGGGATTATAGAATGTGGAAGATTTTGCAAAAAGAGGAGCTATTATGGCCATTGCAGGAGAAATTTTCTTTGGGTCTCCAAAGGAAGACCATAAACACACAATAGAATATGGAGACCATGCCATCAAGAACATTACAATCATCACAACAGACATCTGTAAAACAAGAGGAACAGACATATAACCAGTATTACCTCAAGATGAAGACCTCATAACATAACTTCATAACAAAAGCACATGCACCTGTGTGAAAACAGATCTATTCTGAATGAAATAATAAGCGCACTTGACACATTTTGACAGGTTACAATGAAATCTCACTTTAATAGCAGGGGATTTAATAGCACACTTCACTGCCATGTATCTGGCATACTGTCATTTCATTACATATAATCTTCCTTCAAGTCAGCACTACTGATTATGTTAAATCTCTCCATCAGGAGTTTAGATGACCAGAGAGAACTTCACACATGAATTATGACCTCCATAACTCAGGGATGCTATTACAAACAATAAATATGAACAGAGAGAAAAATCTAAGCCAAATGTTTAATTAGGCTGTTAATAAAAACATTTCATATGGCTTAACTATAGTACAGTGAAATAAAAGTAAGTAAATGTTCTAGGATGTCTACTGAAGGAACCCAGAAGTGTCTGCTTGGTTTAGTGAAGAATTATAACCATGTTCAAGTATCATACTGAGGAGATATCTGATATTCTCTGCCTGTCTGTCAGAGAGAACAATCTGGGCATGGTGGGGCTCACACACCAGAAGACAACATGCTACAGCTAAACCTGGACAGCGACAAACTGCAGTAGTGGAGGAGACTACCGTAGTATCAACTGAGACAGACTTCTCTGGGTTTTGTTATGGACATGAATCAATAATGGAAACTGGAATGGAAATCTCAAATCAAGAGGACAAAACAAACCACTAGAATACCAAACAAAACTGCAGGACTGTTTTTATGTACAGGATTCCCTAGTGCTGTTTACCTCTACCCTTATTCAGTCTTTTGGTGATGAACAAAATGAGAAACAAGAAGTAAATAGCTAGTTTGTATGAGCTGTTCTAGAGAATAACCAACAAATAAGCAGTGACTCTCTCACAGAAGATTCCTATTTAAATACAAATGCAATATCCATTGATAATAATGTTAGAAATAACACTTTTATTTAGAAGTTTAGAGCATAGAAAGCTTAGAAGATGCTAATTTGTGAAAAGCAAGCAGTCCAAATCTAAAGAAGGATACTGCTTAGCTCCATAGCTGCAATCTTTTTTTCTTTTTAAACATAACTTTGTGTCTTCAAATGCAAACCCAGAAAAATGTATTTTCTTCACAAACATGAGTCTAAATTTTTAACTGAATCCTCAGTTTCAAGCTTTCTGAAAATTCTTCATAAAAGCAAAATGCTCAATTTATTCTTTTTAGGTAAAAATACTATTTTCAGAATTTAGCAATGATAAAGTTTTTTAAAGAATGTTAAGTTTGCATTGATAAGGAACTCAAAAACATAGGTACATACTCTTCTGTCCAATTCTCTCTCACTTTTTCATCATGCCCAACCATCAATCACATCTTTACACAAAATCAAAGGAGCTAGTGAACTTCAAGATTTCTCAAGGACTTTTGTACATTAAAAGAATGTCCACCTTCCAGGCAGGATACCTCATTTCATGTCATAACTCACATTTGCTACTGTTTACGTAAGAAAAAGATAAGCTCAATAGACTGAAAAGAACAAGGGATTGGAATCACACAGCTCAAGTGCTAGAAATGCACTTTCGTTCCTAGGTCACGAGTTCAAATCAGAGTTGACCAATCCATTTCAGACCAAATACACCTGAGAACCTAGCAGAAAGCTTAAGGACTCTGCAGGTACAGAGAGTAAAAATTCTTCTAGGGCACCTCTGATGTATATTTCCGAGGAATGGCAGAGGGCAGAAGCAAGAAAAATTCACGATGTTCCCAGCCTTTAAAGTAGCTATTCATCTGGAAAGAGTATTAGACCAAAAGTGAAGAATCTAGTGTTAAAAGTCAAGCCAAGAGTTTACACCAAGGCTCAATTTCAGTTATTATTTAGTATGAAAGAAAAAGGAGAATGTAGGAAACAGAAATGCTTAAAAGGCTGCACTGTTCCTTTGTCCCTAAGATTTAACACAAAAGAACACGTTGAAAGAAACTCACGCACTCATTTACCTTTGTCACATCTACTTGGTCAGACCAATCAATGTTAATGCTCTCCAGGCAGTTACTGCTGGCATATTGTTTCATTGTCCGGGAAACATTGTAATAACAGTAAAACATGACTGTTAAGGGCACAACAAAATTAACAGCAATTACACTCATTGTGTAGGAAACAAAGGACCTGATAAGACAGAAAAACAAAACAGAGTAACTTACAAATAGCCATCCAGGAAAAGTTGCTAAAGAATTTGGTATTTTGCTTTGATTATTTTTATAATTTTTATAACAAGCTTTTAAATAATAAGCAAATTTGTCTTTAATTTTTTTATTAGCAACTACAAGTCTTGCAGTTTTGAAGCATGGCTCAATTGTTATGGTTTCTTTTTTTTTCTAGACTTGCTGTATGTTATTTCATTGTTTTAAATTATTTTTAAAAATTAGGCTTCATACTTTAGAAAGAAGTTATGCTCATATAGTGGTGAATTAAATAATCTTAGACTTCAATAAGACAGCAAAGTTAAAAGAAAGAGTGAGGGAGAATCTTACACATCATTTTTCCTCCAATTTACTGTGCACGTTGCTCCAGTTGGATCCGGAGCATAGCTAGCCCAGCCTAGAATAGGCATGGAAGCCCAAAAGACTGCATTTATCCAAGCAGCAATGATTAGAGCGGTATAGCTACGGGTAGTCATTCTTCTTCCTGTGGCCAAGCACATACAATCACAAACAGTTGTCATCTATTGCTTCTTTCCAGTGTCAAACTAGACTGATAAGTGGCTTCCAGTAAGCACATAATGGGTTAATAATGACCCTTTCAAAGGTTTACACTCCCAAACACTGTAGCACACTGCTGACTGACATCTCAATTTTTCCAGCCTTTAAATCCACTTAAATACCATTACCCATTCCAACTCTCAGCATACAGGCAATACCTGATCCTGACCCCATGCCAAAAAGCTTATTATGCAACAGTGCATTCAAGTACATCCTCAGAAGATTGCAGAGGCAGGAATTAACTGTTACAATGCAGCTGTGGCAGAGGAGAGAAAAACACCCCCTGTGGTGTCAACAAAACAGTAAAGGCACACACCAGCTTGCCAGAGGCCAAAACCTCCCAAAGCTAGAGGCTTTTCTTGTGCTTCCGTATGAGGATGTGGCCCTCTAAAGACTGCCAACAGCCGTGAAAATATAACTTATAAACAGAGTAACAGCCTAATTGTGAATTTTTTGTTTTCACAAGCAGCACCATCCATGCCAACTAGATAACTTACTTAACTAAGTACTGTAGGTTCAAATTATGCTCAGCACTGTAACTATGGTGTCATTCATGAGAAAATAATAAAATAAAATAAAATCAGACTTTTATTTCTTAGAAGCCCAACAGCAAATGATTTTTGACTATAAGTACAGTACCTATATCAGGCCTGCAGATTGTCAGATAACGGTCAACTGCAACAACAGTGAGCAAACCAATACTCGCCATCCCAAAAAAGATATTTAAGGCAGCATAGATCTGGAATTAAAACAAACAAACAAGAAAATCCTTCCTGAGAAATCTTTCAAAGGTAAAAGCACAAATTCGTGTACTGAATCAAAGGCACTACAACACATCACATTCAGCCAGAGCTCTCTTCCATAAGCAGTGTCTTGAAGGAATTGATTCTATGCAGGTAATTCGAAGCTGGCCCATTAAAAAGTAAACCTGCATTCAAAAGCAACCTTCTTGTGTGCACATCAGAAATCCTAAAGGCAGAAGTCTCAAAATCAAATAAACACCACACTTCAATAAGTAAATTTTGAGATTCAGAGTTTGGAAGTGTTCACTTTGTGTTTTCAATATATGTTAAGGAAACCCAAAAAGCTTTTGTGTTACCAAAAAGAGTTACAGCTTTAGCAAATGTGAGGTTCTGAATTATTACTCTTTCATCTCTTGTATAACTACACTTATTTCACAGATATGGCACACTGATTTACCCCCTAAGCCCCCATTTTTACGTGTGTCAGATCTATTGCACAGAGTGACACATGCTTCAATCCCAGCATGCTCCATATGCATCTGCCCCATCATCCCATGGGAAGCCTGACCAGGAAGGATGACAGGGAGGGCTATGTTACCACTGGCACCCCAGAAATACAGAGCCCTGAGCCAGACCACATGCAACCAGCAGTTATAACAGGATCACATGACATTCAGCCATCTCAGATCACAGGAGTCATTTGGTTTAGGCTGACATGAGTTGTGCTTCAAGTGATCTTAACTCTCAAAGCACTGGCAGTGAGAATTCACATCAACATGAACACACTACAAGTCAGTCCAGATCCAAATATGTTGAAAGTGAAGTTTCCTGTCAAACAGTGACTGAATTTTGAGCTTGAAGCAATTGTCTCCTGAGACAAGTGATGTCAGATTGTTATAAGCATCCAAAATGTATAGTCTTGCTAATGTTTGCCTTGAGACATATTTTCAGCATATGCCTTCACATTACTACTCATCTTCCTGGACACTTAAGCCAAACAGCCTATCAATAATGTAAATTTAAATCCCAGTACACAGTGAGCGAAGGGCATCATCTCTCTGCTATGAAAGTATAATTTTTCCAGTCAGTCTATTCTTCAAAGTAGATGGCTATTAAAACTAGGATAAGTCTTTAATGGAGACTAATAGCCTTGCAGGCCTTCATTTTGGATATCCTAATAGTCCTGTCCAAAAGAACATGTATTTGCCAAGGAGAACTCATTAGATCTGCTAAGATCATCATTGAAACATTAGCTACATTCGAAGTTTTTTAACTGTCAAGAAAGTCATCAATGTGCATGTGCTTCTATAACCATCTTCATTTTCGGATTTGAGTTTGTAAGCCTTCTTAAAGCTAATTTAAAATCTCTAGTTGAGATTAAAGTAGGGACTACAAAGTCCCTACTTTAATGTTTCCAGATTGTAAGTTTAAAGTGAAATTCATATGAAACACTGTCTCCAGAAACTGTTGAAATTACAGAACATCAGCTTCAGGTCTACACTCAAATTCTGCATCTCCATTTTATCTCTTAAATGAACTAACACCAAGTAGAGCTACTACTTATTTGTCAGTTTGCTTTTAAGTGCTCAAATTTTTTTCTCCCACTTAATTGCAATACCTGGCATCCAGTATATCCAAATTTCCAGCTTCCATGCAGGTCTGAGGCAGCAGACATGGGATAACCAATGCTACTAACACCAATGTCAGTAAAAGCCAAGTTGATAATAATCGCATTGGTTGCTGTCCGAAGCTCTTTGTACTTAACAAAGATGCCTAACACAACAATGTTACTGAAAATGCTTATCACTCCTGTAAAAACAGAAAAAGGGAAACTTTACAAAAGATACACACCAGCCAGTAATACACATGAAGAAGAAAATGCAGCCTATTGTAATATATGAGTCCCAAACAAGCAAGTCAGTCAAGAGCAATTTTGCAAGGAGGATAGACACCTGAAAAAGAGAGAAAAGCTTTTCCAATTAGGCAACTTTCACTTGGATTCATTAAGTGCCAACAGTGGAGTATTTGCCAAACTTGGGACTTTCGATACAACGATAAAAACCACAGCAGAAGTTCAAATGCATCTAGGATTACACTTCAAACACTCTGGCCACCAAGCATATTGCTGACTTCCATGATAAAAAAGAATAGAGTTGGTGACTGGCAAAAAAAAAATTGGGGGAAAAAAATTATACACCTAATCTAGCAAAAGGCCCCTGCCAACATCTGAGGTCTTCCATTCTCAGCAGGTAGTTTCCACCAGCATTCAGACAATAATCCTGGGCAAAAGGGATATAGAAGGTTTGACTTTGGTATCACTATTCTAGCCAGACTAACTCCTCTCTCTGCTCATGAGGTCCCAAAACTTTGTCAGCCTCAGAGTTGGCTCAGGTTGCTGCATATTGCATTTTCTAAGCTTTGTCAACCAGTCTAGGTCATCTGCACAGTCTGTCACAGTGGCATGGCTGGGCCTGCACCAGAGCTGTTTCCTCTACGTGACAAGCTCTAGGGCTGTGTCATAGCCCTGGGAAAAGTCCAGCTCTGGACTGAACTTGCTTCTGCTTCACTAACCTCTGTATTTTTAAACCTTTTTGGTCTGGCTTGACTCAACCTGTGTCTGAAATCTGTTATTAGGCAACACAAAAAATGTCCAGGAGCCAAAGAGTTTTAACAAAGTACTAAAACGGTACTAAAGCTAAAATGTACATTCTCCTCCCTTCACATTCCATCCCTCTGAAATTTGCCTTGTACATAATGCTCTTCAAGGTGTCCAGGACATTCTTCAGGACTCCATGCACCAGGAAGCTTTTTCTGATCCTGGTGATCCTATATTAAAGTGTCCACAATCTCCTTTTCTCCTGCCATTCCCCTTTCCTAGCCAATTCCTACTGCATGACTCTTGGAGTAGTTTACATGGCATTCCCACAAAACATTTTTCTTTATGGTTGTGGTTTTATTATCTTCAGACTCCAGCCTGTTTTAGAGGTATCCAGAGCAAATTCTCATCCTCTAAATTTTTACTAATCCAATATTAATACAAGCTTTAATAAACAGTAAGGTTAAATACTCCACCTTGCACCTCAGCACAGACAGACTCACAGCCCTTATCAACACAATGAGAATTCAAACATGTTCAAGCAAAGACAGACATTAAAAAAATAATTTGCAAATAATAAGAGGAATTTGTAAGTTGTTCATAGATTCCCTAGACTGGCACAACTGCTACAGCAAATCCTAAACTTACAAACATTTGTATAGCCTGGGCACCTTAAACTGGCAAGTGAATAGTGGAATGTTATACTGGTAAAAGTCTAATAACACATTATCCATGGCAATGCCTCTCGGAATTTTTGTTTTGGTTTAGTTTTTTGTTTGGTTTGGTTTGGTTTTATCTTAAAAGTTTCACCTATGTATTGAAACACTATCGTTTTGGTCATCACTGATCTGAGGCATAATTCTGTAAGGAGCTTGAGTGAGTGGCTGTCATACTGAATGTGGACTTCCACAAGCAGATCCATCTTCTTTCACAGTCACGTTGGTACCTTTCATATTATACCTAAAACTCATATAAGGATTTTCACTGCAACATTTTATTAATCAGTACCAATCTCCTACAGTAAATAAATTCTCTCATCAGATTCAGTAATTCTAAAATCAAATGGGGCAAAATAAAATTAACTCTTGGCTATCTCTTTTAAAACTACCAAGCATGTCTGTTCTCAGGTGCAGGCCTCCTGTTGAAGGTCCAACATCTCTTGGCCACACAGATGCCATCAGCTATCATATTCATATATCCACACATTTTGGGAATGACACTGTGATGCTATGTGCTCCTAAAATTAACAAAAACAAGGAGGTAACGATCTGATCTGAAATGAACATCATAGGAAAAAACACTCACAGTGCCAGTTCTGTCAGCTCTTCTGTTGACAGATAGTATGTCATTTCTTGGGAGAGAGGTAGCAAAAGGGAATTACAAGTTTATAAAATAGTACAGGCTTCTTATGAGGCATGCTTTAACAGATATTACAGCTATCAAGAATGAAATCAGACATACAACAGGACTGTAAACTAATATCCTCAGGGTGAAGGAAAGATCCTGCTGCCCAGAGAAGTAGTTGAGTCACCATCCCTTGGAGATATTTAAAAGATGTGTAGATTAGACATGGTTTAGCATTGGACTTGGCAATGCTACATAGTAGCATCAAAACAATGAAGTCCACTTTTAACATGGAATTTACCAGTTAGCATGTTTAAATTATACCAGAGCATTTCAGCACTATATGCAGAAAGATATCCATGAGGAAGTATTGCTTCCAGTATCCCTGTTGTCATCACAAAAATTAATATACTGACCAGTGCAGAGTGCAACACAACAATTACTTCCTTCTTAGAACACAAAAGAGAGGCATCCAAACCTTTTAAAAAGTAGCATAATGATGAAAACTGGACCTGGACTTCATTCTTATTCTTAGACATCTGCTTATTAACACAGCTTAAATTTTCCAGATGTGAGATTTGCTGGGGTAAGGCATTTGCAAAGCAATCAATCATACTTTGAAATATGTTATAGACTTACTGTCAAAAACATTTCTCATTAAGAAAGTAAAAGATTTACTAGACTTCTCCAATTATAATAAGAAAAAAAAATTACAATAACCCAAACCCACAAAGTAATCCAACTTTTTTTTTTCTAAGACATTTAATTACCATGCAAGATTAAGAAAGAAGAGCTGGGTTGATTCTGGTCAATTGACACTCTACGATCACCTATGGTAGATTTGATCCCTAACACCAGGTGGTCAAAACTATCTGAAAAGATCATCTAGTTACATACAATAAATTTTAATCAAAATATAACAGGCATCATACTTATTTGCAGCACCTAATAGATCCAAATAGTTCCAATATCTGCAAATAGTGTGACAGTGTTGCAGAGCATATTTAGCCTTCCAATATTTGACCATTATCCATCTCTACAGCTTCTTTAAAAAAGTCTACTGATCTATGTAGCTGTTCTACAAATTTCTCTAGAAACCTGAAATAAATTATTGTCTTTGCATCCAAAAATACCCTCCTTACCAGAACAGCAATTTTATACTCACCACTTCAGACAGATATGCTAAATAAAATGTGACCATCAGCAATATTATTTCATATAAATTTAAATTAATATTTTTAAGTATTTTAAAATCTAACTATAACATAGAAAATTTATGGTACAGTCTAGTAGTAAATATTGATAAACTGCCTTGATTTGCTGTAATAAAGGTACAGAAGGCTATTTTTAAACACAGTAGGTTTCAGGTTTTGGTTAGGTGGATATTTCATTGCTATAGCACTCAATGCTTCAGAAAAGCACTACTGAAGCAGTTGTGGTTACACAATGAGAAAGTTTTCAACAGGGAAAAAAAAAATTCTATAATCATTTAGCCAAAGACCACTGAAGTCATAGTGTGTTTTTCTAACATGTGTCATTGGTGAAAAATACAGCTGCAACTGGAGTCTGCTCTTCTCTGATTAATGACCAGCTCCCTCCCTCTAAGTCACATTCCAACCCTTCCCCTTACATCCCCCTAACAGACACCCGCTCACATGCTCAGACTACACATATATTACTATGAACATGTGGCCCAGGAGAAATCTCAAGATAGCTTCGAGCACATCGCAGAAAAATGCAAGATGTGACAGCTATGCCCTATTTTTATCTCTTTTGCAAGCTGGCAGAAATTAATTCTCACTCTCTTCTATAGTTACATATCAAGAAAATATACTTTTTGAGACACAACACTGCCTTCAAATATAGAGCAGAAAACTTAGATGTTTCTGCACACTTCAGATGTTTCTGCATATTTCAGTCAGGCAGCTGATTGCTAGCTTGTCAGTAAATATGGAGAAAAGCCATCAGACAGTTGTCAAATACAAAATGAAATACCATCACTGTTACTATACAAAATGAGCATTCAGATCTACAAGTTCTATTTTAAAAAGTTACACAACAATTTGCCAATGCTCATACCTGCTGTTATTAAGTAAGCTGCAACTATGTTGTGCTCAGTCTGTGTAAAGGCTGAATGAGCTTCATTGTCACTTTCTGAGGAATTGGATGAGTCATTCCAATGCATTTTCGACAAAAGTGTGTCGTTTATCCTCTGCAATAATTCATCAAGACGAGGAAACACTACAACCCTGTCAGGCAAATTCTTTCATTATTCAACAGACTCATTGAACAATTAAAAGAAGGGGGGTAGGGCGGAGTTCTCCCCACCACTGACAGCTTCCAAGCATGATTTAATTGGACTAAAGTGGAAAGAAGTTTACGCTCCCAATCTAAGCAGGAGATTGTTATTTAAAACAAAGAGCAGCACAGAACTGAGTAAATTTCCAACAGTGTGCTTAAACTTCATTCTTACTGCTAAAGAGATTAACTGTCACATGCCCCCAAACTTTTTCCCTCAAACCTCTTGTGCAATCTCAACAAAATCTTTGGAAATCTCAACAAAAGTTGACTCAGTTCAGTTGATCATCAGCCTGGTTTGGAACTAATTCCCATCATCACAGAAAGCACAAAAACCTGCAGTACCACACGAAGACACAAATGTCAGTTTCTTTAAAAAGCAGGATGTGTTTACCCTAAAGCCCATCCCTTCAAATCTTTAAAGACCTACTTCTTCAAAATTCTTTGTTTGAGATAAGCTCTCAAGCTGACACAGACACAAGAAAAACACATTCCAGTATTTTCTAAAGTGAAGCATAACTTTCAGAAAATTCAATCGCTACACTTCTAAAATAGCCTGGTAGGCAGAGAATGATTGTTGAATATGCCTTACAAGCCAGAACACCCTCCCTCTCCTAAACACAATGCCTGTAAGCTTACTTTGGGCAAATTTTCCAAGGCATGTTACTGGGCAGAAAATTACTGCACATTTTTCAAACACCTAAGCAGCAGAAGGTCATGTTGTTTTCTCTTCAATGATGAGGTACTAGCACACCAAACTAAAGACCTTTTAAAAAATCCTGCATAAATATTAGCTGCAATAAATCCCTGCTCAAAGAGTTCATATGCAGTATCAGAAACCAGCTGTTTCCCATCAGTCCCACTTCACACAGTTTTTGCCTCTGGTTAGTATTCATACTGGCTATAAAAGAGACAAGGATGAGCAACCAGTAGTTCTTCAGTTGTATGTGGTTCACAGGCAGTTCAAGCAGGTCCCAGGCTAGAGCTGTATCTTCTGAGCAGCAGTAAGGATGCAGTGACAGGCAGTATTGAGGAATACAGTCATCCTATAGAAAGGAAGTATATCTGAAGAACTCTCCCTTCCCTAACCTGTCAAACACTCATAAAGCATTCCTTCCCATTCCTCAGCTCTCCAAAACAGACATCCGGCATCTTTCAACCATTTGAATATAAAAGAACATTTTTATATAAAACTTATGCAGTCACAACATGTCATCATTACCACACACAATCACATGTCATAGTTCTACCAGCAAACATTTTCTTTAATACCCCAGATCTACACTCACAGCTCTCAGGGTACTTGTATTATTGCAGTATTTTTCTTGTCAGAAGAGGATTAGGTAGGAACGGGGTGGGAGAGATCTAAAAGGAAAGATGATCCGTTTGGCAATGAAGCCACTTCCCTAGTGCACCACAGTCCTGCCTCAAAAGATAAAAGCATAGTGATAATTTGATATCTTTGCTTTCCTCCTCTGACACTTTGGCAAGATTTTCAAAAGCACCTCAGATCTTGCAGCTTCCACAGAAGTCAGCTTGCAATGCTGAATGTCTCAGAAAAGCATAGCATCACTATTTTTATTCAGACAGGATTCTAGACGTAGAGTAGCACCTAACGAGACCATAGAAATTTTATAGTTGTTGATTAAAACACAGCTTTCTGATATGTGCAGTCTATTCTATGTACCATCACATTGTCTCCATCTCTTCTTAAATTTGACTAACTTTACAGCAACTGGAATTGAGAGAAAAGTAAAAATTAAAGGTAGACATCATTAATCTGAAAGTATTTTTTTTCTACAAAACTGTAGTTCACGAAACAAAGACAAAAAAGATTTAAAAAGGAATTAAATATTGAAGTATACAAATAATCCAGAAAGCTGGAACCAGTTCCTAAGCCAGTTAAAATATGTCTTACCACATTACTTATTTATACTGGTATAAGAAAATAAAATCCAAAACCTCAGGTTGTTTTTATTCTCCAATAACAGATAGTATTACTGGTGTCAGAGGGGCACTTTTTAAACTCAAGTGATGCTTTTCCTTCCCACTTGTATCAGATCAATAGAAAAACACAACTTCTATTTAAGTCCATTCTTCAATTTGTAGGTATCTCTCTCTATATGTGTCTGACAATGCAAAACTCATCACAGGGTTTAGCAAGCTGCTTTCAGTTATGTGTAAAATGTATTTCAATCCATGACTGATGAGAGTGGAGAAATGTAACTTCTGCATTTAAAAAAAAAAAAATTAGAAGCCTAAATCAACCCCAAACCTTTCTAATGTTCGGCGGTGACCAGGCTTACAAACCCACTCCAAACTCAACCCCTCCCATGTTTATTACGCAACCATGGCTAGAGGACTCTCTAAGGCAGAACGTCCCTTTTCTCACGGATGCAAATAGTTCAAATCCCATGAAAAACAAGTTAATAACTTACTTTTTCCCCTCACTCACTGATTTTTACTAGATTTAAACTTTTGTTCAGAAAAGTTTGACTCGAGATTTTCAGCTGACAGAAGAAAACACCCTCAAAAATACGTGACTCCACAAAGCTTTTTACTTGCCCTACTTTCACACAGTGGCTGTGCCTTTTTTTCTTAGAGACACTACTGGTTTATGCCAAGATGATGCTTTGCACAACTGCAAATAACTTTGCACCAGTATGTATGTGACAGTCCAGCATTGCTTCAGGCAAATGTCCATAGCTGTGAGTCAGTGCCAGAGAGAATCCTTTCTGTTCTACAATGGCCAGTGCCGCAGACTTACCTCAAAATATCCCAATCATTTTCTGCACTTCATCAAATTTCTTCGACAAAGTAACACAGCAGATCTTATGAACGACATTGAACCATCCTATCCCAGCAACTGCAGAAAACACAAGGTGAATAAACATCCCTCCAAGACAGAGAAAAATATAAATCCAGAATTTTGGTGTGGCAAGGACAAGAGGCTCCAGGTCTTCTGAATACCTTTAAACAATCAGATCCTAGTGATTTACCAGCTGTTATTTTCAAAATCAGCTGAAAGCCAGACCCTATGCCTGGGTGGCCAACACATTCATTTGCGACCACATTTTGAAAACAAGACTTGGTCACGAAATGCTCTGGCCCCTGCCAACAGTGAGCATGTGCAGACGCGGACAAGTGGAGGAGGAGACAGGCAGGTGACACCACTACTGCTGTGTCCTGGGTGGGCAGCCAAGCACTGAAGTGCACTGAAGCCTACCTGAGTTTCAGAGGAATACTAAAGGACAGCAACCCTCTTTGCAATGCTGGAGCAGGTGGCAGGCGAGCTCTTTAGATGACCCAGGCATTTGTCCCAAATGCTGCCAGTGAGGGAAAATCCAGGGAACATCAAACAGTCATGAAGAGCCTACACTACCACTAACACCTTACCCCACTCTGCTCAGTGGGGGAGAGCACTGTGACTTTTCTTCCCCAGACACCACAGCTACTTGAAACTTCCCACTTCTGCAACACACTTACTTCTGTCAGGGTACTGGTGAGACACCCCCCCTTCCTACTCTCTACAGACGCAACCTAGGATAATTGTAAGCACTTATATGAAACTGGAACATTTCACTTACTAGGATTAGGAGGACAATGATCAAATCATTGGATAGGATTTGAATAAAAATTCAAGACAGAGAAAAAGTATCATATAAAATTAGAGAATCTGTATTTTAGTTCATTACAGCATTACACTGCAGACAAGACCTGTCTATTAAGAGACTGAATTTTCATCCATTACAGTTAGCACCTTACATTAGGAGGGCAGGGTCATGTCATGGCACAGAGAAGACAAGGCAGAAGAGGGACTGGATGTGCCTGGCAAACACCATCCTTCCCCACAACGGAGAAGAAAAAAAAAAAAGGCATAATATGACAAACACAATAGTTAGTTTCCTCATATTCACACCCGATCACTGAGGACATTCTTATATCCTAACATCCTACAACCTCCAAAAAGATCTAAGATTATAAATTTTCTCTGTATATTTGTATAAAATCCATCCAACACTGTTTGTATGCATAGGCCATACCATAATGATCCTCATGCATTTCTCAGCTGGGACTGCAACCTGTCCCCTATAATCAAGAGGCCAACCTTCCCTCCAGAGCTGCAATGGATATTGTGCTTTAGCCTCTCTGCACACAGATGTCAAAGCCTTTGCTTTGGCCTCGCCATGCTTCAAGCTGACTCACTGCTCCCTCTGCTGAGAGATTCAAAGCATACACATCTTGTCCTGAGCTGCAAGAGGGTGGCACTGACTGCAACCAAACCATCAGCTGTCACACTATGCAATTCAAAAGGGATGGTAGGAGTGTTTTGATACCCCAGGAAAAAGCATGTCCCTAAAGCATGCAGTGCAAATAGCAAAGCAGAGCATGAATTTGGGTGTAAGAGGGAGGACTATATTATGTTAGTCTTACAAAGTCAGATGAATAAGGAAAGATGATCCGAGTCAGCTACCCTCAACTAGCTACTGAAACACAGCACGGCAGATGCAGCTACAAATGACAGAAGTACTGACAACTGCAGCTGCACTTGGTCCCTATTGTTCAACTGCAATGTGGTGTGCCTGAAATGCAACAGGTAACTCCTCACAACTGTCTAGTTGAAGGGCAGTCTATGCCCTAGGTCACTTAGGCCTAGCAAGGCACAGCAACAAAAGCCTGAACATTCTCAGAGTTCTGGATTTAACTGACCTGGTTAAAGCTAAGACTGCAGGAATACCACGAAAATAACGGGAATCCTTCAGTTCCAGATAGTGCTGTGGCTAAACAGTAGACTCGGTTTCTTCTCACAAAACCAGATATAGCAGAAATTCAATGTTTGTGGGGTTTTTTAAGCTGAAGAATATTATTATCTATTATCCTATGCAGCATCTGTTCACATTTAAGTGAATTCTTTAATATTTTTTTTCCACCTTGTTTCAAGTTTCGTTCCAGAGATTATTAAAACTAACAGTCGCATTTGTTAAAATGACAGGGAACTGTCCAATTCTAGTGCTGAAAAACTACCTGTTTCTTTTTGTTAAGCAGAAGGCTAATATAATTCATCTGCCTGGTACTGCATTCATCAATTACGAAGTGTAACCGCACAATCAATTCTGAAATGTCTTTCTTTTCACATGGAAGAAGATGTTCAAAATACTTGCATATACATTACTCTATAGATCCCTTTTCAGAAGTGCTTGGTAGGAGAGTCTAGGAAGAGACTCCTGGCTTCGGATGAAGTCCAGAGAGATTCTACTTTTTACCCCTTACTTTATTTCCACAGTTCAAGAGTAGAGAGGTAGCCTGGTCTCCTCTGTCCATAAGGAGAGACAGTTGCTAGCTTTCCAAAAATCCTAATGCTTCCATTTAAAGAGTCCAAAGACTCATGCTGATTTTTTCATGCTTTTTTTAAGCAATACATAACCAAAAGCACTGTGTGCAGAGGAGCCCAATGATGGGCTATTTAATCTTAGCCCTACAAAAGCTCAGAGCACCACAGAGGTGCAGTGCCAGGATATCAAAACCTTGAAAGAAAAAAGCTAAGGGAGTATGCAGCGACGGTTAAAAACCCTTAGCTTTTTAATATACAATTAGGTGACTCAAGAATAGTACTAGCTTGTCTTATTCATTAGACAGCAGCTGCTAAGAAGAACATATCTTAACACTTTTGGCTTTCATTGAGATTTATACAGAAAAAGATCACAAAATATACTTTGCTATCTTCCTTTTCTTTTATACATTATTATGTATTTTAAAAAAATCTATCAACACAAAATATTTAAGTTTAGTTTATAAAAAAAGGTTCACAAAGTTGTTTAAACAGCATGTCCATTTCAGAGCAACCCAGAAGATTCTATATAAAAGGAGGATGAAACTAGGCATCAGTCACGCACAGGTAACAGGTTCACACCGATGAATGTGCATGTAGTGAACCTGTAGGGTCTTCTGAGAACCTATTTCAATTGACTGTTTACTCCAAACTCCATCACGAAGTCAAGCATTGACTGCTGCTTGTCAGAAACAAACAGTTTAAGAATAACATTGAATCCTGCCTTAGTTAGAAAAGTGTCCGTATATTCTGAGTGGTCTTCAGCTCTTCGCCTGGGGCTACACTCCTCATGTGTTGGTCAACAGTCACTAGCTGTAAAAATAATCATCTTACAGTTTCAAGTTCTTTATAAAAACAACTTTTTCAGGGTCCTTTACAAAAATTTTTGCTGGTTCTTCCCTTCTGTAGATGACATGGTAAGACAGCGGGGAGATATTCATGGCTCCATTTTTAATGTCCTCTTCCTATTTTAAGAGGAAAGAAAAACACACCAAACGGTTCACATCTTAGTTGCATTTAAAGCAAATTAGTTATATATGTAACACTGAATGAGTTGATAGAATAAAGTAATTTATCATTGTTATCTGTTCTCACAGCCCTTTCTGAATGCAGAAATCTGACATGTTCTTATACACACATCAACAGCAGAATACTGCGCTTTGGTTTAAGCTACTGGGATGCACTGAAACATTTTACATAAAACTATAAACATCTACAATACATTAAAAATTACAACATTCCATTTAATATTTATAAGCTTTAGAAATCAGGAGCCATTCTTATTACTGAACAATAAAAACCACACACTCACCCCGAAAGCCTCCTCCACCACCTCTTCCTCCTCTGAATCCTCCTCCTCCACCTCTGCCTCCTCTGAATCCTCCTCCTCCTCTTCCTCCACCTCTTCCTCCTCCAAATCCTCCTAAACATAAGAAAGAAATTACCCTTTGAGAAGCATATTCTTTGTTATGCACAACAATTTATTTCATTGACAGCTTCTCAAAGGGAATGAACAACAACAAAAAACAGAAACTGTCAGTTGCTGGACAGTTACCAGCTCAATTGTCTCTTCTAGGGATCACCTGCAGCATTTTAGGTACTGTTTGATATCTGATATACCATGTCCAAAATACTAAAGACACTAACAAAACTCCACAATTAACTTCTTTCACAAGAGCATAAAACTAATTACATATATTAACCAGTAATTGATTACAATTATTAATACTTATTATTTATTAGTTAAAACAAACAAACCAAACCACTTCAAAACACTTGTGCCCTGCTGCAAAGGGCTAGGGTAGGGAGAACAGACAAGAAACTGTGATGTAAGAAAAAATAAACTCCAGCTTTGACTGCAGAGTAAATACATGGCAGATGATGTTCAAAAAGCAGAGGATGAGATTCACCAGGTCATTCACCCCTCTCTCAAACACTGCATTTCAAGTATTTTGATATCCAG